AGAGAAAGAAAGAAAGAAAGAAAGAAAGAAAGAAAGAAAGAAAGAAAGAAAGAAAGAAAGAAAGAAAGAAAGAAAGAAAGAAAGAAAGAACCAAGTCCCTCCTCCTTCAGGGTCACACTGAGCAGAGCCCCCCAAACAATATCAAGGGTCCCTAACTCCTTGGATTTATACTGAGAACTTTCTACACAAGGGCCCCATGGGGCACACACAAACACACAGACCGAGGACCCTCAAATCCAGGTGTAGGTAAATCCAGGTTCTCACATCCTTGCCCATTTCTCTCTCACACTTCCTTGGGTTGCACCACTGCCTTAACTTCACAGACTCAGGGGGGTGCATTCTGCACATTCCATGACAAGTATGGAGCCGGATCCTGTCCTTGGGATCGAACCTCTGAACCCCTGAAGTCACTTGAGTGAGAAAACCAGTTGCAAGTGAGTCAACTTGGACTCACAGAGAGCCATGAATGTCAGAAGATAACTGTGCACTGCGATGTTTTTTCTTCTTCCTATTTTAATTTTGTTGTTGAAACTACACAAGGGAAAGCATATACCAGTCCAAGGTTCCTGCATGTACAAGTCAGCATGTGCAACCACGTCACTTTGCTTTTCTGAGTTACTCTTCTCTCTGTAACATAAACTCACTGCCTCCTATTGATCCTATTTAATCTTTTGAGTGCCTAGTGTACATTTGATTCTGTAGCAATAGTTCTTAAAAGAACATAATGCTATACTGCCAATACAAAGGTTTGTGTTTCAAATCCACCAGACGTTTCATGAGAGAAAGATGAACAATCTTCTCCTATGCGAGTTACTGCCTCTGAAAACCTATTAGTCCTCCTCCTCCTCCTCCTACTACTACTACTACTATTAGTGTGTGTACCATCAAATCAGATCTGACTGATACAGGAGGAGATTGTCCCTCCTTCTCCAGCAGAGCATCTGGTGGATTCGAACCGCGCACCTCTGGGATTACAGTGCAGCTTCTTGCCACTAGGCCACCAGAGCTCTCTCACTGTTTGCTTTTAAGAAGACTCCAGAGAATATTCTTGGTTTAAAGTTGGTCACAGGGTAATAATTTCAGGGATTCGTCAGACTTCCATGGATCCTGAGAGTCTACTATCCCTTATAATGTAACATTCTGTCCTACAATTTCCCCTTCTGATCAAGATTCTTCTATATTTATTGTCATTTCAAGGGCCATAATCTTTCTGAATCAGAATGACAGGTATTTATTCCTGAGAAACTGTGAGTGGACAATAACTGCCAACCTCTTGGAGAAGAGCTCATTGTGCTATCTGGAAAACCTGACACTGCCCATTTCTCTCCTCAGTCTGGGGTGCACTGAATCTCTCTCCTTAAATTGAGATAGCTGTTACCTCCCACGTGGCACTGCCGACTCTACACACCTGTGCACCACCTTCTCAGTGCTCCCCCTTGTGGACACGCAGGGTCTTATTTCAAGGAACTCCCCTCTTGACAGGGGAGTTGCTGAGGAAGAAAACAGTTGAGTTTATTACAAAATTAAGAAAGGAATTGAGATGGAAATCGTGGGAAACAAACAGGAAAAAGTGGCAGTTGCTTTTAGTCTTTATCTAAATTTCACTTCCTCTGCACATGTTCCTCAAAAATGAAGTCGTTTTTCCAAGGAACTCATGCAATATTTTTCAAAATGGGTGGTGACCCTGGAGGACATTATGCTGAGTGAAGTATCTCAGTCACAAAAGGACAAATACTGCTTAGTGCCACTGGTGTAAAACAGGACTGACCTCGGCGTTGGGGGGAGACTGAGAAATATGGGATAAATAATGTATACTGCATTGAAACAGATGAGGAAGAGAACTGTTTAAAAGGGATATATGATTAGGCATTATTGTCATGACAGGAGTCGAGAATGAAGGCTGCATAGTGGAGTGGACCTGGGGGAAGGGATTGAAAAACAATGAAAGAATTTTTCTTTTACTTTTGAAAAAGAAGAGTGTACTGGGGCGGGGGAAGGGTGGGGTTGGGCAGGGAGAAAAGTGCCACAATGAATGTATGGAAAGCCAAAGTTTCTGTAAATTTTCATTTAAATGTATAATTAAAAAATTCTTTAAAAAATAAAGTCATTTTTCAAGAGTCCAGAATAAGAGTTGCAGAACTTTTTTCCAAAGAAAAAGCTGAACTGGGGGGGGGGGGGGGACAGGAAGGAAAATGTGCAACAATGAATGAATGGAAATCCAACTTCTTTGTAAACCTTCATTAAAATCTAAAAAAAAAATCTTAAAAAAAGAAGTCATTTTTGTTGGTTTGTTCTTATATACCAGTATTTATCACAGAGCACTCTACCACATTGGAAGAGCATGCACACACACACACACACATCTGGAACCTGCTCCCCCAGCCTCATAGCCTGTCCTCTGTTGAGGTTAAGTCAGGGACAAGCTCTGTGGACTCTCTCTCTCTCTCTCACTCAGTGGCTGTTCCTGGGCTGGTTTGAGTTACCTGTTCAATTTCAGCAAAAGTAAAATCTAGCCCTTGGGAAAATTGTGAGGGAAGAGGAAAGTCATTCAGGGACCAAGAAGGGTGATGGTGGTGGTGGTGATTGTAATGTTGGTGGTAGTGATGGTTATTGTATGATGGTGGCAGTGTGGTGGTGGTGGTGTGTGGTGGTGATGCTGGTGGTGAAGATGGTGGCCCTGGCGGTGATAGGGTAGTGGTGTTGGTCATAGTTCTGGTGGTGTAGGTGGTGGTGGTGATGATGATGATGATTATTGTGGTAGTGGTGATGGTGCTGGTGGTGGTGGAGATGGCGACCTTGGTGGTGATGTCACTGGTAATGGTGGTGATGATGATGGTGATGGCGGTGATGGGTGTGATGGTGCTGGTGATGTTGGAGATGGTGGCCATGGTGATGATGACTATGATTGTTAGTGATGGTTATGGTGGTGATGGTGTGGTAAATATGATAGTCTTGGTGGTGGTGATGGAGGTGTGATGGTGGTGGTGGTGATGGTGTGGTAGATATGATGGTCTTGGTGATGTGATGGTGGTTGCGGTGTGGTGGTGGTGTAGTAGATATGATGGTCTTGGTGGTGATGGTGGGGGTGGTGTGGTGGATATGATGGTCTTGGTGGTGGTGGTGGTGGTGATGGTGATGGTGGTGGTGTGGTAGATTTG